ACAACAAGACACTACTATGTGTAGCCCTAGTAAGGACGGTATGTCTTTTATTTTCTCCAAATCAGAGTTTGATCATGGCTTAGGCCATAGGTGGAGATCTTTCAACCTTGTCAGTGATGCAGCTCAGGGACATGACAAAGGGCCTAGATAGTTGTTTGGATAGAACAATAACCCAAGGCTCCTATGCTATGTCCAGGCTATGCATGTTGAAGATCTCTTTAAAGTGATTATATGAATCAAAAAAGAATATGCTGTGACACAGTGCACGACATTGCACAATCATTTATTTGAATGTTGAACAAGGCCCCAGTTATAACAGATTTTATGTGCTATGTTTGGATGTTTCAGAGGAAAGTAGTGATTTATTAGAAGAAATAATGGATGAAGTGTGTAAATCAAGCTCTGAAAGAAAGCAACCTAATTTTTCATCTGCACAGAATACGAGACAGGTAATTCTGTTAGAATTTTTTGTAAAAATATTAAGAACTGAACTAATGTGTGCATATGGCAGTATAAGAATGATCTAGTATTTATGTATATGCCCTGGAGACATAGGTAGGTGCATAATAGGAGCATAAAAATGCCTATGGTGACTCAGTTATGTACTAATGTATAAAGCAACATTAATTTACATTTGTACAATGAAATAACTTTTTTGATAATGCTGGTATGGGATTGATCAACAAAAAATTTGATTGCAAATGAAATTAAATTAAATGAGGTTTACATCCTACTTTTCTGCACCTAATTGGGCTAAAGAAGATGGCCAACGCCATGCAATGAGCAATGAAGGAAATTTTGCCATGACAGCAGCATTAGCTTCCTGTTTTCCGATTTCAAACTGTTGGTAGATCTTTAACCTACACAGCCTGTAGCAACAACATTAAACCGCAATAAGTGTTTTGGAGTCGTTTTGATTTAAATGATCATTGTAGAGATTTGAAGAAGAAGAAGATGAAGTAGATAATTATAAAGTAAAATCTTACCAACCTAGAAATCTTCATAATTATAGTAGTGATGGTGAAAACTTTCCTTATCATGATATCTTCTCTGATGGTATGTCTATATGTCACCTTTATCTCTCTGTGTCAATGTTTGTCTGTACATTTGTACTTCCATGTAAATACTCTAGAATCTACAGTTTATGATAAATTTCATGAATGTAGATGTGTATAAAGTATTCATAATAAACAAAAAAATGAAAATCAAATTCGAAACTAGCCCTATCAGATTAAGAAAGAAAGAAAGGATAACAACTTAGGTTCACAAATAAGGATGATTTCTACCAGCTGGTCCTTGGCCAAACCTCTTCGCTGAGTAAACTAGAAATATGAGTGAAGATGACTTATTGAAGGCATCAAACTTTCAAATGCTGATCAAACTCACAGCCATCATATATTCGGGGATCCTCAGAGTCGACCGC